GTCCTGGTGGCACTTGGTTACCTCCAACGTCTCGGGGAAGAATGCCCGATGCCCCGACGCCTTGTCCTCTTCAGTGTGGTGCAACCTGACGATCTTGTCTTCTGGGTCATACCGGGACTCGCCGCCATCCACCGGCCAGCCGCTGTCACTGCGACCATGAGGCCGGCCTAGCATGTAGCCTCGCAGTGCTGGCTGCTCCTCTGCATCAGGCACCGTGGCGGACATCTTGTGCTCCAGGCCGATCTCCTCGACGTTCTGCAAGTAGTCTAGGCTGTGTACATGGACCCGCCCACTGCCGTGGTACTCTTGGGTGGGCAGCTTGCGCTTGCCATCCTGGAACTCGAGGCGCTGGAAGTAGTTGACCACGGTCTTGTTACCCCCTTCTGCCGTGGACGCCAGGATGTGGTCCTTCCAGCCGTCCTGGGCCGCGGTCTTGTTCAGTCCGCTGTAGAGGCCGCGGTTGAGCTCCGTGAAGACGTGAGCCGTGTGGAGCGTCTCGAGACCAGCCAGCTGCATCCTTCCGCGACCGCCCTTCTCCATCTCGTCCAGGACGAAGACATGGTAGGGAAAGCCGTACTCCCAGGGGGCCATGGTCTTGAAGAGGGCCGGGAAGCCGCACTGGCGCTGCATGTCGATCAAGGCCTGGTGCTTCGTCTTCCAGTACAAGGGAGAGAACGTTTCGCCTTTCAGGACCAACCGCAATGGCAGGCCGGCACAGGCGTTCTTCCCGCCACCGATCCGGGACCACATGGTGAGGTCGTATAGGAACTGCAGCAACTCGAAGTCCTGGCCGTAGCCGATGATCGGGCTCAGGACCTTCCGCATGAAGCTGCGCTTGACGCTGTGCCGCTCTTGTCCCTCTCGGTCGCCATCCTCATCATCACTCAAGGCTTCGTTGCGGCCAGCCGCGGCAGCCGCAGCCAGGCGCCGGGAGTCGGTGGCACGCTCGGTAGTCTCGCACATTTCGGTGCGCCAATACAGCGATGGCCACAGAGCGCATTCGAGGCCGACGGTCTCAATGAACTGGAGGGGTCGCCGACGGTCGGCGTCCGTCGCCTCAGGGAACTTCCGGAGGAACTTGTTATGCTTCTTGACGAAGTCCCGGTAGGAGCTCTCGGCCTCCTCGGTCATGAGATACTCATAGGCCGCTTGCGCCTTCTCCCGCTGTCTGCGGTTCCGCAGCTTACGGATCTTCGCCTGGACCCCGAGCTCGGACCAACTGAATCGCACCATGGCGGAGTGGATGCGGTAACCGTTGCCGGCCTGTTTGTGGGGTCCCACATCGATGTCCAAGGGGCGGAGGGCCGATGAGCTTGCTGTTGAGTTTCCGCAAGGGCCGGGGGATCTCGCTCGGCTGGGGCACCCAGTGCTAGCCGCGACACTGCTTACAGGTCTTGGTGGCCTTGGCCACCCTCCTGTGGTGTCGATGGGTTCTAGCGGGCGGGGCTGCAGGGAATGGCACTTCTCGCAGATGCCCCACGATCCGAGCTTGCACCATAGCTCCACGAACCTGGCCCGGTCCGAAGTTGTTGGGGCAGGTAGGCCGCAATCATTGGGAGCCACATCGCTTGGCTGCGGGGCCGGGAGGTCGTTATCCAGGAAGAACTTCTTGGCCACCCTGCTGCGGTCGGCCGTGCGGCGCTTCTTGTAGGCCGTGACCTCCTTGCTGCGCAGGTGTTTGAAGGCGCGCTTCCGGCCGGCCAGGTGCTGGCCCCAATCTTCGGTGGCAGTGGTGGCTTGCATCTCTACTGGGGCACCGCGTGGCTGCCGAGCTGGTCCGCGCCGCCCCTGCAAGGCCGCTTCATGGAACGTGCCGTGCCACTCCTCCGGGACTCGCATCATGGCCGTGTTGTAGACGAAGCTGCGCTCCTCGTAGTGTGCCCGGAACGCCTTCAGCGAACGCGTGACACGCTGGCGTCCACGCGGCGTTCGGCAGGTCTCCTCCATCCAGTCCTCGTTGCAAAAGACGCACTTGTTTCCTTTTGCCGGGTTTCCTTGTGCTGGCATCCCAGGACGGCTGGCCGAGAAGAGGCACGGCAGCGCATCGGAGAAGCCACGGCAGATGGACGGCATGGCACAGAGGAGCTGCGTACAAGGACGGAAGGCTTGTAGTGGGGATCTGATGCGATCGCGACAAATGCTGCAGAACCGAGAAGCGAGCAGGCCAAACATCACGCCCCTGCACTAGCATCAGTGTGTACTCCTCAGGTGCAAACGCTGTGGACTACAAGCGGACTACAAGCGGAGCGTCTTTTTTGCGGCCGCGGACAGTGGGGCGGGCTCCAGCGAGACCGGGCCAGCCGAAGTGGTCCTGGCAGGGGAAGCTATGGCACACGCTCATGGCGAACAAGGACACGGACGGACTGGACAGGACATCTGAGGCACCGGCACGTGAGGCGTGGCGTGAGTCGTGAAGCTGAGGCTCCCTGCAGGCGCTTCATGCACCCACCTCTTTAAGGCAACAACGCGAAACTGCTAAATGGCTCGCCCCGTCTCCCTCGCCCGCGGGGCCCC